GAGTTTCGTCTCTGTGAGAGCCAAAATGGTGGGTTTAAGCCTAAAGCAATGGTACCTGACTGCCTGCTTTTTCTTTGGCACTCCAAGCCCTCTGATATTAGAAGAGAGTATCAGCATTGAGGTGAGAAGGCAAGGGGAGAATTCCTGAGGGACCGCCTAACCAAAAGACCTGTGCGGTGATCTTTAGGCATGATAGAGGAGAGGGAGAGACTGGATGAAGAAGGTCTATCATAGTTGATAGTGCAAGCCAAGTTTGCTAACTCCTGAGTGCCTTTGTTGCTTACTTGAACTCGTCACTTGAAAAATTCGAGAAACGGTCCATCTGGTCCAGATTGTGGGAAGCCTATCACTCCCAAGACGTCCTGGATCTGTCCTTAGCCCTTGTCGACGCCATTGACATAGATCGAGTCCACCGAGGGGGGGGAGAGAGGATCTCCTATGGTGTTCACTAAAAGGGAGAATCCTGATGAGTTCATGGTGGATGGAACAGGGGAAGGTAATGCCGGCACCGGAAAGTGGAGCCCATCTGCTTCGGTGGGTCTGAAAATACTTGTGGACAGATCAAAAAGGTCCTTAGTCGAGGTGGAAGCTGTTTTATCTAGAGAGAGGGGAGGGGATAAATAGTTGGCCTGAAATGAGGTTGGGGGAACTGATGAGGAGGCGGGGAGAGTAGCGGAAGTGGGATTAAGACAAGGAGAAAGAGAAGGCAAAGGCACCGATGGTGGGTCGGTTCCAAGGTTGGAAATGGGGGAAAGAGTAGTAGGTTGAGGGTCAAGTTGAGGGCCATGAGGAATAGGTGTCAGAGAGGAAGCATGTCGAGGAGTGTTGGGTTTGGAAAAGGGTAGGTCAGTTGGGGGTCTGGGTTGGTAAGGGAAAAAGGTGGTTAAGAAATTAGGCGGAAGTAGGTCAGCAAAAGGTTCAAAGAAGGTTGGGGGGGGCAGGTACAAGTGATGGAGGAATGAGGTTTGGGATAAAGACGGGAATGGGGGGAGGATGAACATATGGGACAAAAATGATGATGGGGTCGCCACTGAGAGGATCAGCAGGAAGCCCCACTAGGACAGGTGGGAGCAGGGTGCAAGCTAAGAGGTTGGGGTCCATGGATTCAGAGGTGTTTTCCTCCCGCGCAGGGTGCTGAGCTTCCGAGAGAAGGTCGTTCTTCTGCAATTCGCCTGGTGGAACTGGGTCTAGAGCGGCCAAGGGAGAGTGGTCGAGTTGTTGTGGTTTGTCTTTCCCGTCTAAACTTAAGTCGATGAGAAGGGGAGAAGTAGTGGTGACAAGACAGGTCCCTGATGAAAATGAGATAGGAAGGGAGCCATAGGCTTGACCAAGTGAGGCAAAGAGTGGTTTGTCGAAACCTCGTCGGGATATTGCAAAGACAATGATGGTGGAACCTCTGTGGATATGCGGTGTGCATGAGGTGATGTCAGGGTGGAGGGCTTAGGAGAAGGTGATGGCAGGCCGGGAAAAGGTAGGTGGAGCGTCTATGGTAGGGAGCCGAAAAGAATGGGTGTCCGATGAGACGATGGTGGAAGGGGAGAGGTTTGGGTGAGTGCTGCCTTAGGATGTGGCTCAGGGGGGTTGGTGGTGTCAGGAAAGGGGGGCGGCGACGCACAGGTGTCAACAGAGGGTGTCGGTGGGGGGGAGATGAGGGGGCATGCATACGTACAATCGAAGGTACTTGAATAGTCTGCTATGCGGATGAGTCATTAGTATTAGGCGGCGATGTCAGGAAACAGTGGGAGATTTGACCGAGCTGGGTCGGTGAGGGGCTATTGAGTGGCAAGGTGGTGGTCACAGTCAACTCTAAGGGTACGAGAGGCGGTAGGGGTAGGGGAGGAGGGGTTGGTGGTTGGGGTGGTCGTGGTGGCAGAGGAGGGCTTAGAAGTGGGCGAGGAGGCATAGGCGGAGGTGGGAAGGGTGGCTGGGGTGGATGGAGAGTCTGTGTGGGTAAGGAGGGTAGAGAAGGAGTTGTGAGGTGACCTATCCGAGGGCTTCTGAAATGCTGAGGTTTGTGGATGCTGCTTGTTTTACGTCTTCTAGAGATGAGGGTCCATTGGTCGGAGGCCTCCGCTGACCGAGTTGAAGTCTCTCCGTGAGGAAAGACCCTTAGCGACTGCTCCATCGGAGAGACGAAGCGAGGCGAGGCAGGAGATGCTGTCAACCATAAAATGCGAATCCGAAAATAATTTCCAACCACTTCTATCCAAAGGAAAGGTGGGATGAACTGGGGGTCGAGGACGTCAACAATGAGTAGAAGAGACCCAAGCAGGAGGTTCTCCATCAACTTCCTGTGAATAGCTACAAAGGAGCTGCAAGCATTACTAATGGCTTTGAAGGTATCTTGGCACCAGGAGTGGAGGGGAATACCAGAGGCCGTAATCAAGTTTTTTGCCAACGGAAGGCTCCCAAATCTTTAGACCATTGTGCGAGGTGAAAGGAAGCTCCCTTGAAGGAGCTCAGGGAGGGGCGTTGAAGGATGGACACCGCCGCTGCGATGGATGGAAAAGAAAACAAGTATGACCCATCAGAAAGGGGCCTGCACTTAAGCTGTGGCTCCTTCCAACTATCCTTAGCCCATCTTTCTACGCCTTTGTGGTCATTGCGCTGGCATCGACCTGAGAGGATTTGTACAGGTTAGCGAGGTTAGAACCAAAAGAGGTGGGGAGAGAGATGAGGGGTGGATACGGTTGTTGTATCAATATTTTCCCCCATCATCTTTTGAGTTAACACTCGTTGTATCAGCTGTGTCTATATACATAGTCAACACCACTTGGAAAAGTTTTAGACAAAACTATATCACATGCCTTCTTCCCTTTAGCATATGCCTAGACCACTTGTATCTAGACCACTATTTTGAAGTGAACATTGATCTAAATTGGGTTTCTCATATCTAATATGCTCTGCAGACTTAGGAAAGAGGTGGCATATCTCATCACCTTAGGCCTCACTTGATCCCTCTTCTCAATGAACTTGTGCATCATGGCAAGGGTAAGGGTAAGGGTATGACTGTTCATGACCTTAGCCTTATGCAGTGTCGCTTACCCTTGTCATTTCACCATAGCTCAAGTATGAGGTCTATGCTATGTGCTGTGTTTGGTGTCCAAAAGATGTGAGGCCACTTTTAGCGTAGCAAACCAGTTGCCAGACTGGCTGCCGCATTCTGTCACAACTTAAATGACATGCTCCTTCCTAACCTCCTCCATGCCCTTGTCAAACAAAGAAAAAATAAATTGTGCGTCGTGAATATCATCAAATGCATCAATAGACCTCAAAAGAACTGTCCATAAAGAACTATCAACCACCTACTCGAATCACTCCATGTATTGTCATTATTGAGACAGCATATCCATTCATCTCTATGGGTCTTGAAATGCTCCTTTGTGAGTTGTGCCTCCTTGTCGAGCAATGGCTTCTTAAGCTCATATGGGTGTGGACCTTCAACCCGTGTCCAAATTGGCCAATTACCTCCACCATTTTATGAAAGTTGCTTAAGTGTGCAGGACTAAAAGCAATGCCCTCCTGATACATCCATCGAGTGATATACTGGTTTACTCGGGCTTAGTCTTCCTTCTTGAGCCTATTTTTTATTGTTAATTGTTTTTTTTTTTTCTTTGCAGCCTAGAGATTGGGGGGAAGAAAGGCATCCATTGCCCCTTCACACGGGGCCTCGTAGGCGGCCCAAATTCTTTTGTAGCAATTCAAGAGGAAGCCAGTTTTGTTTCCCCTTCATCATCTTCATCCTCATTATGCCCAAAAATATTCACCCGGCCCTGAACTCTGTTATACTTAGCTCCTTTGCTGGCTTTTCCCTTTTTTGGCCTCTAAATAGTCAAGTATCTCCTTCCTAACTTCCCCTGGAACTTCCTTACATGGAGCAATCTCTCTCCTTATACAGGCAAGGTGCTTCTTAAATTTGTTGATCATCGCATGTGTATCATTATTAAATTTGGACCAAGTTTTGGTCTTAGCATTTTTATCATGGCAAAAACTATATTTCCATTCCGGATCTCCACTCACTCCTATTAGATCCCATAGAAGAAATTTCAAGAGATGGAAGAAATCTCAAATACAAGGTTAATTTACCTACATTTGTTGACCAATCTTCGAGCATCGATGTTTTGCATGAATGTCAACCTCCAATTTCCCCAAAAAATCATCTTATAACCTCTCTTTATGGTACACGACCGATCTAATAAAAGGAAAAAAAAGTTAGGTTTGGGAAGATTTCTTAAACTTCTCAATTTTTTTCAATCTCAAATCCCAAAAAATGTTGCACCCCACTTGGTTTTTGGTTTTAAGAAGGGAAGGGTGGGGGGGGGAGAGAGAGAGGGAAGACAGAAAATTTGAAGACGAGTAGGTTGTTTTCTCCATCAATACCATAATAGGGTGGCCGTTATTCCAAGAAAGTTATTTGGAATCAAGACCTTGGTCGCCTAAAGTACCTCTTGGAAATGAATGTGGTACAATGTCGAAGGAAATATCATCTATCAAAAGACACTTTGTGCAATTTATTATATGCAAGGAGATCAAGGAGCGATGGCGGGGTTGAGATAGTGTTGTAGTGATGATGTATGAAGGGAGGTTGTCTTCTTTAAATAAGAAGGAAATCTGAGATGGTAAGGTATATAGTTGCCATTGGGGAATCAGGTACTTCCAATCGACAGTGAACTGGTCAAGGTTGCCAGTTCTATGAATCATCAAAGATGGTAATAGGTAGATTGACTTCTTTCTCTAACCATTGCTAGATAAATTTGTGCAGTCAATTAATATCTCTCATGCGGATTGTCACTTAGAGAAAAGTAGATTGATAAGGTGATCGAGACACCAACTTTGTCTAATTCTGCATGTTGCAAAGTTTTAGCACTGGTTTTTCATATCATGTTTATTCATTTTTTCCATGCTTGTATCTGTATTATTCCTAATTGTAGGTTTGTTTCTGAGAGAGGAAGGGAACAAGGGAGGGGGGGTATTAACAACTGTTTTTATTGGATTGTTAGTTGGTTTCTGGGGACGAGGACCTACCTGCAAGGGAAGATCTGGGAGAAAGGAGGAAAAAACATGAACTCCAGATCCTCAAGAGACTCCGAGACGACGACGAAGCTGATGTTGATGTTGATGATGATGGTGAAGAGAATACTGAGGAAGTACAGGGCTCTGAAGATGAGTTTTACAGGGAGGTGAAACAGCAACGTGCTGCATGCATCTCTGCTAAGAAGGACAAGAAATTGAGGTGTGTATTGTTCATTATAATGCAAAGTATAGCTGGTATTGGTCTGTTTGTGCATGTCGTGGTTTTTTATTTTTTATTTTTTTTGAGAGAGAGAGTATTCATGAACTGTTTCCACACAGAGCATATTCATGGACTGTTTTTATTTTGCAGATATATTTCACCGGTGCCATCATCTGCAAAGGATGAAGAAGAAACTCTCGGAGAGCACAATAGAAGGCGTATTACATACGAGGTCAGTTACTTAGGCATTCCTCTTCAAAGCCGTGCTCTTTCTTTTTTCTCGTTCTTCTTGTTTTTCTTGCATACCAGCGCACTTAGAGCAGATTCACATGCCTTTGTGTGTCACAGATGGAGAAAAATAGAGGCTTGACTCGTTACCGAAAGAAGTTGACAAAGACTGCAAGGAAGAAATACAAGGTAATATATCAAAAAAATTTGAACTCTAATAGTTCAGGATCAATCCTTCTTCTAGTTGGCTCTCTTTATGCACACAATTTTGGATTCAAATATCCAGCTTTCCTGATGAAAATGGTATATTTTTTAAGAAAAGAAAATGATATTTCATCCCCTTCTGGCTTTGTTGGTGGAATGCGGTTTCTCCCAAAGAAAATGCAAGGCTCGAAATCTACTGTTACCTGGAAAAGTACTGAATTTACTTTGAAGAGGCCAAATAATTGTGGTAGCCAGCCAGTAACAGCGGTAGTAATAGTACGGGAGAAAGGCTACCATAATTCAATGGAGTATGGTATATGGTACTCCAGAGGGGCAACCATTGTCCAGTCATGTGATGGGCGATTGAGATTAAGGTGGTTGTCTTGTGATTCCTCTATGGAAATCTCCAATATTCATCGTCTGGAAGGGACAGTGGCGCCCCTTTGGGAGTACCATGTGTAGATATACTCCATTTATCATGTACATCTAGCTAAGCTACAAGGAAGAAGATTAGCTTGTTTGGGTTTTTTACGACGAACTTTCTAGGTTCAAACCTTGATCTCCCTCACCCTAGCCAATATGTCTTGGCTAAGGGACCGCATAACTTTCCCGGTCTTTTGGCTAAGATCAAGTGTCGTTTTTGTTCTCATCATTGTAATATCGGCTACATGATATTAGATTTAATTTTTATGTGATGGAGTGGCCTCTAGACAAACTTTCTAGTGGGCCCCTTGTCCATGCGTTGCGCTGCTACTCGGTCCTGGTGCACCTGGCCAAAACAGATCCATCTGATATTTCTTATTTACCCACCCAAACCATGGATGGTAGTGCTACCAAACACGATCTCTCTTTTACCAACCTACTGGTTTTCATTGACAGGATTGCACTACTGAAAGCAGGTTTCAGCAAAGTCATCAAAGTAACCCCAAAACAACAGCAACAACAACAATGTCAATAATGATATGCTGATGTTGAAGTTGTTGTTGATAATGTTGACAATAACAGTAGTAATAATAATATTGTGAATAACAACAATAAAGGTTGCATAATGAATAAAAGAATTCAAGAAACGTCAGCAATAAATTTGTCTCATTCTTTTTCTGTTATATATGTGCAGTTGAAGCACCAAAAGGCGGTGGTGCGTCGCAAAGGACAGGTGCGTGAAGCTAGGCGCCCATCTGGTCCATATGGTGGTGAGGTCTCTGGTATTAATGTGAACATCAGCCACAGTGTTAGGTTCCATTGAGCCCGCTGTTTTCACTAGTTGTTTTCACTTGTGTTTGGAGCTTGGGAGATTTTCTCCTAGCCTCACTACATTTTATTTTTTTTCGTTCTTTCTTAATTTATGAGTCATTGAGTTTGTGTTAAGCCTTCAGCAAATTATCCTTAACTAGTTTATGAAAGTAGTTTTTTTGTTTTTGGATAATTCGGTGGGGAAGACAGACGGCCCCCGTATTTTCAATAGATTAGGGGAGTTACATTTTGAAGGTGTTAATTGGGGGTGTCAGCGGTAGGAATGGTTAACTGGGTGTGGGGATGCTACCACCTATGTTCCTAGGAAGTTGTCTTTGTATGAGTTAGAGAAATTTTGAGAAATTTGCCGAATCATGGATATTCTTCAATCGGAATTATTTGGAATTTTGCTGATGAGTTAATTTTGTGTTTTTCTTACAAATTATTACCTTTACTTGCTTATGTTGGCTTTTGGGCTTTGATCTTTGGTGTAAACTGTCCCTTGAAAGTTATTTTTGTTGGTTTCAACGAAGTGAGAAACTGTGTGCGCACGCGTGTGCATGCAAGCACATGCGTGTATGTTGCGTGTGCACGTGGGGGTGCATGCGTGTGTCATTCTTTTTGATTTGGAGACTCACTTTGATTATGGATGAGATTGTCTCGGCAAGTGGCCTTCAACCGCATTAACGGACAAAAGAATAGCGCTGCAGGGCAGGCTCCTCGCTCCCTCTTGTCTTCTCCTTTCTTGCCTCCCCCTTTTCTTTTGTTCTTTGCTTTTACTTGTAATCTCATTCACTCAATGAAATTACCATAAACTTTCCAAAAAAAAAAAGAAAAAAAAAGAAGAAGAAGAAGAAGAAGAAGAAGAAGAAGAGTTGGTGTCAAAAAGTCCACTAAAATACAATAATTATATGAGTTAGAATAATTTAAAAGGGGTGGCCTTCTAAACTTTGGCCATTATCATTGCAAATGCGTATTCGTTAAAAAGCCTTACATGAAGTTTGGTCCTCATGGAAAATAGAAAAAGAAAAGGAAATGAGTTTTGAGATCAGCACTGTAATAATGGTAAAAGGCGTATTCTTGGGTGAATCATGAGGTGTGTGCAATCCTAAGAAATTAAATGGAAACATAAATGAATTTTGATTCGAAATATATTGAAAACTGATGGATTTTGTTTGGTTTGCATAAGGTTGCCGATAAACAATCAAATTAAGGCGCACCTCTAAATTTTATGTAATATGTAATTTTGGTGCAAAAACTTTTTAGGTCTAAAAATCTATTTTCATATTTAATAATGAAATTTAAAATTTCAAAAATTGGTTAAAATCAAGTAGATCTATAAATATATAAAAATCTTGAAAATAGACGGTTCAGATAATTTTTTGCAAGATGATTCAAAATCTTTCTTTTTTAAAAAAATATATTCATACATATCGATATTGAAATGATCAATTAGGTGGTTTTCCAACATAAAGAAAAAAAAAAAAGTCAATAGATTTTTGAGATGCATTTTAATTCTACATTTTAAGGTTGCAACCTTATATATAGAGGTGGCAATTGGTCGGGTGTGGGTATTACTTGTCGGACCCGTACCCGAGATGGGTCAAAAAATATAACACCTGTGCCCGTACTCGTACTCAAGACAATACTAAGAACCGGAACCCGGACGCTTACCCACCATTTACTTATGTATCTCTTTACCTCGCTCTTACTCTGTTTATTTCATTCGTTTCATACAGGTGTCCTCCACAAAGTAAAAGTTTGAAACCGGTAACAGAGGTTGCAATCAAATGATGAAATAGAGAAACAACTTGCACTGAACAAATGCAGCAATCAAATTTTGGCATCAAATCTTTGTCAAGAACCAGAGCTTCCAAAAAGACCAAATTTTCCTCCAAAATTTTGAGTTTCTTGACAACTCTTTCACGGACTCTTTGATTTTCCCAGCTATTGAAAAAATAAATTCTGCTCAGTTGAACCAATTTCGGTTTTTCAAAAACCCATTTAACTTTCATTTAGGTTTTTAAAAAACCAAATTTGGGCACAAATGAATTCAGGTTTTGAAAAATTAAATTTTTTTAAAATTTCTGTTTTTCAAAAATTGAAATGGGTGGTTTTTTTTTTTAATTAAAAAAAAGCATGTTGAAAAAACATATATATATAGAATAATGAAAACTATTAGGTATTTTCATATTAAGGAAAAATGAAACGGATATTTACATAGTTTTTCTATTTTTTTAAAATTTCTATAAGGCCTAGACCTTATTAAAACCAAATAAAGCCCCACTTCAAATTCATGTTTGGAGAACACTTTCGATAACAAACATTTTCATAAGGGCTCTAAAATCAACTTTTTAACACTGACTTTAAATTTTGGAACTAAAAAACTATACAGATTTTGTGGATTTATAAGCACTAATTTTTAGTGCTAAATACTTGATTTAAATAATTTGTTACAATATGTATTATTTTTAAAATTTAAAATCCTAATTTCTTTTTTATAACCTTCGAGATGGTCAATGTAAAGATTTTGGAATGTTTGAATTGCAATATTTGATGAGTCCGGAGCTGAGCGTTTACTTATTTTGATAGGGCCGCACCCCTATCAAACCATTTTTATTTTTTAATTTTCCCAAAATTACTTCCCCGAAATCTATCGAAATTTTATTGAAAGAGATCAAAATAGCAGGGCGCCGTTCGGACCTTTTCGTCTTGGAGAGAGATGGTGGAGAGAAGCAGTGGGCTCTTGTAAAAACATAGAGGAAGCTTTGAGAACATTGCGTTCCCAATGGTTTCCAGTGAATATCTCATACAAACTCCTGTTAAAGAAGAGCCTTCTTCTTCTTCAGGAGCTGAACTCTTACAATCTCCTGATAAAGATGAACCTTCCTCTTCTTCTGCAGCTGAAGATGTTCAAGAAAATAAAAAAGAGGACATAGAAAGTTGCAGAAAGCCAGAAAAAGACCCATTTGCTCATTTGAAGAATTGGGTTCATGAAGAGGATAACATCGATGAATGGCAACGCGAAGATGTCGAATGGCTCTCATCCCGGTCTCATTCTGAGCTGGTTGGAACTAAAACCTTTCTAATTTAGATAGTTGTGCTTTTTTCTTATTGGACTCTATACAAATTTTTATATTTTATTTGATAAGAGTGATTTGTGAAATCTTACGTGTATTAATCCAGGGTTTCTCTCTACATTAATCTCTTTAAGCTTTTTTGTGTTGCTTGATTTTATGATGACTTATTGGGGGTTTATTATAATTTGGGAGTTTCTCTCTACATTATTCTGCTATTATTCCTCTTTTGCTTTTGTTTGTTTTCTTTTTGTTGTTTCTCTATAAATCTTATGAAGCTAAATGTAGCAGATGCTCTTTAGTGGTGAAAACGATAGTTGCAGAATTTAGTACTTGGTCCATGCTATCAGATGTCTACTGGTTTTTTGAAGTCAAATAAACATTATGAAGCTAAATGTAGCAAATGCTCTTTAGTGGTGAAAACGATAGTTGCAGAAATTTAGTACTTGGTCCATGCTATCAGATGTCTACTGGTTTTTTGAAGTCAAATAAACACCTGTGATATACACCAAAACCTTGGTTATGAGGTGGCTTTGGTTTTTAAGAGGGGCTTTGTTTAAGTCTTTATTTTTAATGAAAATGATCAAATACCAATATGAGATGCATAGCCATATTGTTTGATTTAATTTCAAATACCCATAAAAAGCTCATGATCATGAGTTGGAATAGTATCAAAAGTGTAAAATGCTAAATAGTGCATCTCTCATGGGTTATTTTGATAAATTTCCCTTATTTTTGCGATTGTTCTTGAGATTCACCATATTTTGGCTGTCAAGAAGTTCTTTTCTATTATTTTTTATTTATTTATCATGGTTGACAATATTCAGTGAAGGGTAATTCACTTAACAAACCTGATGTGAAATGTGTAAGCGAGGAAACAATAGATCATATGCCTCTGCATTGTTCCGTGGCTTTTAATATTTGGTCTTTACACTCAAAGTGTTCGATGAGTGTTGGGTAACAGTGGGCTCTATATGGCATCTGTTTGCACATTGCAGCCTATTTTTTTATCCCTTTCCCTGTCGTGGGCTTGTTTCTTTGGGGAGTGTCCTGATACCTTAATCCTAGTCTCGGGCTTGTTAAGATTTCAGTCCTAGCCAGGATGTTTTGATTCTTTCATTGTACAATTTTTTGTTCCTGTCCATTTTTGAAGAGATCCTGCATGTAAACGATTTAAACATTCTCAAAATGAACTCTTGTTGCAAGGATCTTAGCGAGTATTTGATACGTGCTATTGATTAGGCTGATGGTCAAATGTCCTTACTTCTTCAAGCCCTTACAATTCTCATTATGAGGGTAATGAACCATCGCCCTTGGAGCACAATTCTGTAATCATAGTGCAAACATCTTCTTGCACCGGGTTCCAATACTCCTGAAAGAAAACGAGTGGGAACCCATTTGGCCTTGGGACCCTATCCCTTCCGAGGCTGAAAACTGCCCTTTTTACCTCCTCATACGAAATAGTTTGTCTAAAAATTTGTAGTCACTGATATTCCATTGGAGCCCACACTGCATACAATACTTTTGAAGAAAAAAACCTTCTGGAGTAAATTAATTGCAGCTTGCTCTATACCATTCTTGTGTTTAAAGGTCTCACCATCAGCCTTAGTGTGATGAATGGAGTTGTTTCTTCTTCTTTAACTTGCTTTCATGTGGAAGAGTTTTTTGTTTAGCTTTTCCTTCCTTTATTCGTTTCACCTTGAATCACTGGTTTAGGCTTGTTGATAACCATCTTTTATCATTTCTATGATTCTCTTTTGAAGACAAAATATTAGAGCCTCGGTTAAAATGGTTTGCCTTGGGCTTGTTGACAGGCATCTCTATTTAGCCTCAGGGCTGCACCCTTGTAAGTCATCAAAGCATCTTGTCTCATTGTTTCTCTTTCCTATGTTTTCCTCCAGTGTGGTTCTGGTACCTTCATAAAGTGGAAGGGTTAATGCTAGTTTCCTTTCTGCTACTATAAATAATTGATGTTCTCATGCTTAGGGGTGTGGATCACTAAACAACCTCATTTCCACTTTACTGGTAGAAACTGCTCCATTCTCTTGGGGTTTTTCTTCATCTCTCTTTATGGTATTGATTAGCTTAAGACCTTTCTTTTGGAGAATAATGCAATCCTTAGTATCATGGGTATGGTTTTATGGTTTTGAATGAAGAAAGAGCCATTTTCCCTCATACTTACTAGGTGTTTAGGTGATGCATAACTAGCCAAGCAAGAACCCTTTTCCCTCATATTTTTTTGCATTTCAATGAAGCAACAACCATTTTTTCTCACAGTCTTATTACCATCATTGGCAAAAGCATCATATTGTCATCGTACAAGTGTCAATTGGAAGCATGACACATTAGTCAAAAAAAAAAAATTGGAAGCATGACATGAGGTGTGATATGAGGCCATGATTCGTAATGAACTATATGGGATCAGTGCTGGCCATGTACTAATGCATGTAGCCTTAATTTTAAAGTTTCTTCCTTGAAATGTGTTAAGATTGGGAGAGAAGAGAGACATAGAGAGTAATATTCAAGCACAAGATAAAATAACTACATATGTTTTTCACACTCTTCAAATCATAGGGCAATGTCCCCTATATATACACTCATCCCTATGGGAGTTACACCATGGATAGGTCAACATGCAAAAGAATTATAACCATTACAGCAGGAGTTACGTTAGCTGTTACAACAGGTTCTAATGGGCATGAGGTCCATTATTCATAGGAGTTGCATGTTTTAATGGGCATGAGCCAATAACACCATAACAACTACTTCATGAGGCCCATTATGTATAGAAGTTTTTTTTTGATAAAGGTAACTGGTATTAACAAGAAAGAGTGAATTACAAGAAAAGGGTGCAGCAGCCCTCACAAAAAATGGGTGCCACCTAGGCCCGAAGGTGAAGGTAAAAAAAACCCTATGTATAACCAAAAAAAGAGGCCGCTATTGACAACAGCACGTTGGTATAGCAAAAAATGTGGTAGGGTTTATGAAGCACCCTTTTTACATGTATGCGATATACACAAAAGACAAAAGTACAAAAACAATGGCCAGTATGAATGTAGGATTACTGATGGCCTGGTTGGTCAGAGAGGTAAGCTCCATCGTTTGCCAGGAGGTCCGCTAGAGTGTTGGACTCCCTGAAGGTATGCGTCCATAAGACGCTGGTATCCTTGCATAACATATCAATCTCATAAAAAATGTGCAAAAGGTTTCATGGAGGTGAGGTTTTTTTAGATGCCCATGAGATGATGTTACTAGAGTCCCCTTCAACTATCAGTAGGGTTCCCCAAGAGTGGTTAAAGTTTTTTAAACCTATCAGGAGTGCCAAGGCTTCGGCCTGTTGGGCATCCATGAATTCGAGAGGATCAGCATACGTGAAAAGAATCTTTCTTTCATCATCTCGGAACACTTCGCCTGCCCTTGAGGGCCTTGGATTACCCCTAGAGGAACCATCAAAGTTGAGTTTGATAGCTCCTCTTGGAGGTGGTTGCCAAAAGGTACTTTTTGTGAGCCTACCAGGCTTGTGGCTAAGGATCAGTTTCCAATTGTGGGAGAAGGAAAAAGATGGAATTCCTGCAAACTCTTTAAAATTGGTAGCCCAGAAGGTGACCATAGGCATAATCTTGTGGAGGAGTACCGGCTGCTGTTGGTAACTTCCCCTGAAAATTCTATGATTCCTTTCGTTCCAAATGACCCAAAGTAAAGCTGCCGTGGCTGTTTTTCACAGGATTTTTTTGGCTTTCGACCACGGCCCGCCGAAGTCTATGGCTTGTAATTCAGGCGCGGAGGGTGGGGTAACCCATTGGATGTCGAAGAGATCTAGGATTTTACTCCGTAAGGAACTTGCCAGTTCACAGTGAATGAAGAGGTGTGCATTGGTTTCCTCCTCGGTAAGGCACATGATGCATCTATTTGGGTGTGGACTCCTTTCTTTTGCAGTTGGTCTACCGTCAAGGCTCTTTGGTAGCATCCTAGCCAAGTTAAACAGTTTGACTCTTGGGGGGCCCAAGGACGATCAAGCTTTAACCTGTACAGGCTATGGGGTTGGATGAGTGTTTTATAGAAGGAAGCCACCGTGAAGCAAGCAGAGGGGGATGGAGTCCACACCAAGGAATCATTTCCAGTAGTTGGTATGTTGCACTTATGTAAGGCTGCTAATAGATGGTTAAAGGGAGGTACCTCAGCTTCAGAGAGAGACCTTTTGAAGGATGGATTCCAAACTCTTTTCCTTCCCAAAAGAACCATTTCCTCGGACACCTTAGAATCAGGGTTAGAGGCAATGGAAATGAGGGCGGGGTAACGTTCCTTGAAGGGGGTGTGACCGAACCATAGATCCGACCAGAATTTAACCCTGGCCCCTTCTCTTGCGTGCAATCTAGTGAACTTTCTGAAATGTTCTAGGGAATGGTCAATGGAGTTCCCAACCCAGATGCTCTGTTTCGATGCGTTTCTTGTGGTACCCGAGATGAAGTCGGTATTTGATACTTGCTGCGAATCACTTGGGCCCACAGCGCGTCGGGCTGAGTGGCTAGACGCCACCACCATTCCCAAGCAGAGCTAGATTATGCTTTTCCCAAGCAGAGCTAGATTATGCTTTCTAAGGAATTTGATACCCAGCCCCCCTTGTGATTTTGGTTTACAGATTTTGTCCCAAGATAAGAGATGGAACTCAGATTTTTCTAGTTGACCAGACCAAAGGAAATTTCTAGAGAGTTGTTCTAATCTGTTGGCCACAATAGCTGGGATATGGAAAATGGACATAAGGTAGATAGGGATGTTGGCAAGGGTTGTATTTATCAGGGTCTTGCCATGGAAAGGAACCTGCCTTTCCACCCATCTAACCGTTTATCCACCTTTTTGATGACGTTAGACCACAGGTTCCTTTTGAGCTTACCAATTTCTAGAGGGAGACCTAGATAAGTAGAAGGAAGGTCCTCTATTAGGCAGGACCAGCTTGGAATAAGAGATCTTATCTGGTTGGGTGTTAAAGCCA